ACTCACCAGACCTGAACCCCATAGAGAATCTATGGGGTATTGTCAAGAGGAAAATGAGAAACAAGAGACCAAAAAATGCAGATGAGCTGAAGGCCACTGTCAAAGAAACCTGGGCTTCTATACCACCTCAGCAGTGCCACAAACTGATCACCTCCATGCCACGCCGAATTGAGGCAGTAATTAAAGCAAAAGGAGCCCCTACCAAGTATTGAGTACATGTACAGTAAATGAACATGCTTTCCAGAAGGCCAACAATTCACTAACAATGTTTTTTTTATTGGTCTTATGAAGTATTCTAATTTGTTGAGATAGTGAATTGGTGGGTTTTTGTTAAATGTGAGCCAAAATCACCACAATTAAAAGAACCAAAGACTTAAACTACTTCAGTCTGTGTGCATTGAATTTATTTAATACACGAGTTTCACAATTTGAGTTGAATTACTGAAATAAATGAACTTTTCCACGACATTCTAATTTATTGAGATGCACCTGTATGTATGAAGATATTTCTGTGCCGGGGTGTCGGTGAAGTAACAAGGATCTCTGCTGATGACAGAAGGTTGAGTTCGTCACGCTGCGGTCACTGCATCATTGCTTTGCTAAAAAAAATCTATTTTAAATGGTATCTATATCTGTTCTTGTGTTCTCTTCTAGTTTCTCCTATGAATAAAGAAAGCCTTTATAAAGAGCAAACGAATGCTGATATGATGACAGATGAAAAGGGAAAATGTTCGTACGGGCAGCAGGAAGAAACGGTGAGAAACGGCATGTTGTGTGATTAACCCGAGTCCAGTGCAAACATGCTTTGATCCAGATTGGTGTGTCCCAGCCTACACACAGTGTGAATGAGTGTCGTGTGTTCATCAGACGGCTGGAGCCGCAGGCCGCACGTCCAGCCCGGATTCAGTGACGGCTCACTCCAGAGTCACTGAATGTGTTTTAAATGAGCTCAAGGCCAAAGACGCAGCAAGCACGAGGGCCGGCGCTGTGTTCTGGCCTTATTTCTGGAGAGCAAAACTCTGCACATGTACTGACTGCAAGGTGGGCTTCAGTTTTCAGTATGAAGTTTAAAAACTTAAAAAAAAAATATATATATTTTTAAAAACATTTTATTCTAGAGGATCTTAAATGGTTGATTGACAAATGTAGCAATATTTTATCCATATGAGAGTCTTTTTTCTGTAATGATCTAACTATTTTTATGTTAAATATTATGTATAGAGAATGTATGTAAAGACGGGTGTTCCTTTCCTGCTGGACGAGTCGGACACGCTGCTCGCTTATGAGGAGAAAGCCAAAGCTGAAGCACTGACGAGTGAAGAGCTGCTGATGTCCTGCATCACCTCACTGAACCACGTGCAGCAGCTCGAGATCATTCACCGTGAGAGAGAGAGAGAGAGTGTGTGTGTGTGTGTGTGTGTGTGTCTGTGAGAGACTGTATGAGTGTGTGTGTGTGTGTGTGTGTGTGTGTGTGTGTGTGGGTGCGTGCGCGTGTGTGTGTGTGTGTGAGAGAGAGAGAGAGAGAGAGAGAGAGAGAGA